ATCTGTTTCAGCACAGTCTCCAACGCCCACTATGATTCGCTATGGGCGGCGAGGTTCCTGTGCCAACTCAGCTTGAGTTGGCCGACCACATGGCCGCCTGGAGGGATGCGATCGCCCATCCACCCATCCTGTGACCTTAAGGACGCGACGAGCTGGCCACATCATATAACAGGCCTGCCTCCATAGGAACGTATACCAACTGTTCATTTCGGCCGCTCTCCATAACATACAAAAACCACTTTTGACCTCGCGATATGAAACTCACCCAGACTGTAGCTCTGCTGAGTGCAGCGGCACAGGGGACGCTGGCTTGGGGCAGTATGTAACAGTCTGCTTCGAGCAGCCATCTTGCAGGATGAGAAGTTCTTTGAACATGTGCTGATGGCTGCTGCAGGTCTTGGACACGTCACGACGGCATACCTCGCCAGCCATTTCGTCTCCAACACGACTGAGGCCTTCTTCCAAGACCTCTTGCGCAATGATACGGCGGACTACCTCGCCAACATTGCCACATGGGCCGACACGATCCGGTATACGCGCTGGGGCCACTTCACTGGCATCTTTCATTTCATCGACGCCAAGGACGATCCACCGTCGTACTGCGGCGTCGAGCTCGACCGCGACTGCAAGGAAGAAGGCTGTGTTGTTACAGCACTTGCCAACTACACGCAGCGGGCGCTGGATCCGGAGCTGAGCGCATGGGAACGAAACCAGGCGGCCCGCTTCGTCGTGCATTTCATCGGTGACATTCACCAGCCGCTGCATGACGAAGACGTCTCGAGGGGAGGTAATGGTATCCACGTGCTGTGGGAGGGAAAGGAGTTCAACCTGCATCACGTATGGGACAGCTCCATCGCTGAGAAGCTCATCGGCGGAGCGAGGCGGCGACCATATGATAACGCTAAGAGATGGGCTGATGGACTTGCAGAGGAGATCAAGACTGGCAAGTTCGCGGATGAGAAGGCCGAGTGGCTGAAGACGGTTGACTTCAACGATGTCGTGGGCACGGCGCTGTCGTGGGCGCGAGAGGGCAACGCATATGTCTGTACCCATGGTAAGTGTGTTGCTGCTTAGCGATGGGTCAACCCATACCCCGTCAACCAAGCGTACGAATGGCTTCTGACAAGACCTTGGCAGTTCTGCCGGATGGACCCCACGAAATTGTAGGACAGGAACTGGGCGGGGCCTACTACGAGAAGGCGGCGCCGGTGATTGAGCTGCAGGTCGCTCGAGCTGGCTACCGTATGGCTGCCTGGCTCGACCTCATCGCGGACGAATTTGAAGCCAGCAGGGTTCAGCAAGGCGACTGGCAAGAGCTTTAGTATGGCCATTAATGAATGTTCTGACCTGCGGCACACACAAACCTACATTTTCTGGTCGTATTGCAAACAAGTTTGGGAGTCTCTGATGTGTCCTGACTGTCAACGCAGCAACCATTGGCGGCAACGACCTCCGTCGAGCCAGGGTGCCATGGGATCGTCGACGAAGGAGGCATGGCTCGGACACGTCAGCATGGGCACTTGCGGAAATCAAACTGACAGCCGTTCCTGCCGAGACTTTTTGATCTGCTGGTTGAGTACTGTAGATTGACTCGCTAGGTTTGATTTGCGCCGTCTCCGCGTTTCTTGGTAGGCTCGGCAAGGCATTTCCGCCCCTGGATCCCCCATAAAGTGGCGCCATTTTGCAAGAACGATCTGGGCCTGTGAATTTGGAATGACGGTCGCGTGGAAGCATCGGAGAAACAAAGACTACGACTTTGCAGCGATGAAAGTCAAAGTACGGGCCGATTTGAGGTGTGATGTCAAGGCGTCTTGAGATGAAATGTGACATCCGAAGTGCGGTACCATTTCGCAACGTAGACCCGCCACCACGGGGACTTGGAAAGCTATTACCAACTCTGTTTGCAGTACGACGTCGTGCTGCATAAGAAAGTCATGGTGATTATTCAAGTGCTGGAGTCGAGATTGGGGCGACGTTCAGGTCACGGAAGCACGGCGATTTGAGCTTGGCCTTTATGGGTGAAATAAAAGGAAAAAGCGTGTTTCTATGTGATCTTCGCAGCATGGCATCGCTAGCAGTTTCAAGGTTCGCCTAGGTAGACATCTACCTGTGTAGATGGCGATACATACAAGACCAAGTTCCCCACGTCAGCTGAACATCGCGACGTCAAGATCGGGGCGGCTTGGGACGGCTGGGAATGACACTCTGCCAGCAAAGAAGGCAACGAGATCAAGAGGATGAGAGTGCGGTTTCCAAAGGGGCACGTCAAGCAGTTTCACCATGTCCACTGCAGTCTCGAGTACGCCCTCAGGTTACAGAGTTGGACGCTGGCCCAAGCACACCCAGTCCCTATAGACAGGGGTGGACACAGCCAAGCCATTGGCATGGCTGTGGCCCTGTGGGACATCGGAGACGCGCAGAATGTGGTGTCCCCGGATGCCGAAACCCAGACACGATATGAAGATAAGGTCGATGGTTGTAGTGACGCAAACATATCGGCGAGCCGGATGCTGCAGTACCATGTAGTGTAGCAAGTGCGCTGAAGTACGGTTTCTATAGGTGACGTCGGGTATCCGGCGCTGTCGCTTGGTTCTGCCTGCAGTTGCTGTATGACGGAACGCGGAAGTCTCCTCTGGCGGGACCAGAAAGAAACTAGGTTCGTTTTGCCAGCCTGTCTGAGCTCTCTCCCGCCGAATTTGTTTCCATTCAACGTCGTCCCATAAGCTGTGTTTGTCGAGATCGATAGACTATGGACAGTGGCTTATAACTCATGCTTCCGTAGCAATTGGGTAAGGAGGCCAATCGGAACGCCAAGAGAGACTCGGAGACTTGAAGCGCGCCAAGGCGGGACGATGGGGCACTCAGACTCTAACTCTAAAATTCAGCGCGTGCTCCACGTGAACGCCCCCCCCCAAAAGGCCCTGCCTGCACTGCATGTTCAGGGGTTCCGCCAATGTCTGGGCAGGGGGTGTCCAGAGAGGAAGAGGCAGTGGTGCTTGATTCAGTAGTCGGCTGGTCCTGGATGATACATGTCCGGGATGATACAGGATTGAATGGAACAGCGCGATGTTTGCTGCCTCCCTGGCTGCTGAATTCCGTAGGAACATTCTTCTCTTGCTGACGCCGAGTGCAATGTGATGTGCCTTGATCATCCGAACTTCCGGCCAAGACGTGAAGGCCTGTCAGTAATCGTCAGAGCGCCCTGGTCGGGACACCCCAAGCCTCGCAAGGGCACCCTTCAGATGACAAGACAAATGCTCGGACGTGTATCTCGTTGGCAGGACGGTGCGGAGCGAACGAGAGCGCCCAACGCCGACAACGACAGCAACGGAGCGATTGATGTTTGGTGCTAATGAACGGTTTGTCGCACTATCAGACCAGCTGCCGTCTGATATTCCAACAGTCGCTTGCCCAGGTCGGCTGCCCGCCCTTTCACGGCCAATCAATTGCTGCCGCCGCTTGCTCGTGTCGTCGTGGTGCGGATGGCCGTTTACCATGGCCGCGCTTGGTCGACTTTGGCCGGCTTCCGTAGATCGACAATGTGAAGACAATGGGCACGTATGCGCTTCGATCATGTCCGGGAAGCGCTTCGCCTGACACTGGTAGCCTCACTTCCCGACGAGATGGGCAGGAACGCTGGAGACGGAGGGTGTGTATGCATGTGGGGTTGGTCGGGACGACTGCTATTGGCACATTGCTGTGGTTGGGAAAGACAGATGGAGATGGAGAGGGAAGAGAACACTGCGATATGGGGCAGGCACCAGGGGGGGGCTACGGTCGCGCCTGCACTGAGCTTAGCCCACCCCCTGGACCGTCTCGACTTGCTTCATCGCCGCCTGAGCTCAGGCGGGACGAAACGCCATGTGCCTGATGTCGCTCACTGCATTGCCGCCATTGGTTCGCTGAGCACCACAGGAGGTCCACTGATCCTCTCCTGCGACGACAGGAGCCGCATGCGCCTTCCAACGACAAGATGCCTCCTTTTTTGCCTACTCCTCCACGCCTCTCCGTCCTTCTCTGTCATCTGCGTACTACTTACTACAAGGATCCATCGGCCCTTGACTCATGATTGCGGCCAAGACACGCTCCGGAGACCATCTGTGCGATGGTCCAGGTGAATGAAGTGAGCACGCAGCCGCGGGTGTCCATCATGGCTTCTCCTACTGCTACACAATCCGACAAGCCGGACGCAACCAATGACACCTTCTCAGGACCCTGCCGTCCAAGAAACCTATCCCTGTGTGCCATCTGCTAAGCATCCAGATACAGGCACCCCGGCATCAGAACTTGCGATGCCGTCACATGGCCCAGCAGAGACGGACAGCCACCCCTGTTCCGCTTGTCGCATCCTCCGTCTTCAGACAACGCTATCGAGAAGTCTCCAGCATGCCCCAACCTGTCTTGTTTGGGGGGCGGCCCGCCCTCTCGTCATCGCGCCTTCGGTCCAAACACCAAGGGACGACCTGTCAGCCCTCCTCAGACCCTCGCCGCGCTCTCTCAAGGCCCCTGCGCCGTCGTGTTTGGGATCCGTGGAGATCCCACCCGCGGCTGCTGTTCGCCCTCGCCCTTGCCCTCGCCGTGCTTTGCCCAGCCCTGCGCATAGTCAAGGCTTGACCAGGGTACGGCTTCGCTCGACTATTTTGCCAGATGCCTCCCCTCCTCCATTCATCCCATCCATCATCCGCTTCTTCTTCTTCAACCCCTCCCTTTTCGTTTCTCCTCCTCCTCCCTTAAACGCTGCGAGTGTGTCTTCACCTCTGCCTTTCATTCATTTTCAGTCTTCTTTTGCATGTCCCGAAGTCTGTGACTGATCGCTCCTTTTCTACGTCTCCTCGACAACAACGGTCTGGTACCACCTTACTTTCAGTTCAACTTTTCGCCCTTTTAGTCTCCTCGACGGACTTGTACATCAATTCTTCAGTTTCGATTTGAGACGATAGATTCGATCAGTCAACAACACATTCTCACCCCACCGAGACAATCACAACCATACCATCACCATGCAGATCAAGAGTGTTCTCATCGCCGTCGCCGGCCTTGCCGCTCTGTCCGAGGCCTCGGTCATTCCTGGCCCCTCTCCCTTCAGCAGGACGCTCGCTCGTCGCCAGTTCCGAGGCGGTCAGGGAGGCGGTCAAGGAGGCAACAACGGCGGCAACAACGGTGGGAACAATGGTGGTAACAACAACAACGGCGGCAACAACAACAACAACGGAGGAAACAACAACGGTGGAAACAACGGTGGAAATAACAACAACGGCGGCGGTAGTAAGTATCACAGAGCATCAGTCAGTCGCTCACCCAGTCACTAACACTCTTCGTAGACGCCGGCGCCACCCAGGTCTGTCTCGTTGACGGTGTCCTTCAGGAAGGTTCAAACCAGGCTGGCCAGCCTGCTGATGGCGCCGTTGCTTCCGCCACGGACGACTCGAACTTCATCAACTTCTGCCAGGGAGAGGACTTGACCAACGGTGAGCAGAAGACTGGCGGCTCTTGCAACGGTATCCCTATGGGCAAGATCCCAGCCCAGAACAACATGGTCTCCAGCATTCTGGTCAACCCCGCCCACAATGACAACATTGAGGCCAACACCGACTTCGACATCCAGGTCCAGGTCGACAACTTCGCTCCTGGAGCTTTCACCGATGCGCAGAGTACCTATTATTCTGCCCCCCAGGACCTCGATGGTCAGGGCCGCATCATTGGTCATACTCATGTCACCGTTCAGACCTTGGGCGGCAACCTCACCCCTGACCAGCCTCCTGACGCCTCTACCTTTGTCTTCTTCAAGGGAATCAACGATGCTGGCAACAACAACGGCCTTCTTTCTGCCACTGTCACTGGTGGTCTGCCTGCTGGCAACTACCGTGTCTGCACCATGTTCGCAGCCGCAAACCATCAGCCCGTGATCATGCCAGTCGCCCAGCGCGGTGCCCAGGATGACTGTAAGTCGACCATGACCCATGATGATGATCTCTCCCTGACCAGTCACCAGGCAACAAGTTTACTGTCGGCGGTAATGGCGGTAACAACAACAATAACGGTGGCAACAACAACAACAACGGTGGTAACGGCCAAGACCAAAATGCAGGCAATGGTCAGGGCCAGAACGGTGGTAACGGTCAGGGCCAGAACGGCGGTAACGGCCAGGGCCAGAACGGCGGTAACGGTCAGGGCCAGAACGCAGGCAATGGTCAGGGCCAGAATGGAGGCAATGGTGCCGGACAGGGCGCCGGCGCCGGTCAGGGTCAGGGTGGAGGCAATGGTGCCGGACAGGGTGCCGGCGCTGGTCAGGGTCAGGGTCAGGGTCAGGGCGGAGGCTTTGGTGGTGGCTTCGGCGGTGGCTTCGGCGGAGGCCGTGGCCAAGGTGCGTAATGTGAAGTATAAAACTTAGATTGAATCCTTCCTAACATCGACCTAGGTGGCCAGAACCAGGGTGGTAATCAGGGTGGTGCTGATCAGACTGCCGATCCTGCTGCCGATGCTACTGCTGCACCGTCCGCTGACGCGACTGCCGACCCTGCTGCCGGAGAGACTGAAGCCGCTGACGGTGCGAATGCCGGCGCTGATGGAGGACAGGGTGCTGGCGGTGCTGGTGGTGCTACTGCGGCCAATGCCGTCGGCGGTATTGCAGCGCCTGAGATCTCCGACTCTGGCAACGCCGATCGCCCGTTTGAGGTCAACGGCAACACCTTCACCAACCGTCAGACCGCTGCCCAGAGAGCTTGCGACATTCAGCAGAACCAGTGTGCGGACGCCGTCAACGGAGGCGGCGGTGCTGGCTTCGCTCTGTCTGACTGCCAGGGACAGGTCGCCGCTTGCGTGGCTGAGCTTGCCTGAGAAGCCTGAGAGACCTGAGAAGGCTCTCTGGTGCAACTCTCACAACCCCCTTAACTCCCCTTGTGTGCTGCCTCTCTTCAGAGCGGGCCCGAGTCTACGTCGGTCATGAGTCACCCGATGTCCTACATATCTATCTTCTAATGTTTGCCCCGAAGTTCATGTATCTGTTGGCTGTATGCCATCCCGAAGAGGGTGGGAGGGATTTTGTTTGCCGTTGACATAGGATATGCAAGATTTGACTAGAAAAGGAATTGAAGACACATTCCAGCAGATATCTGTGTTCTCCCATGCCATCATGGTACAGGCACTGATCATGTCGCTCCAAGTAGCAGAGAATGACAGCCAGCAGCACTTGCTCCTCCGGCCTTCAACTTGGCTTGCGTAGCCAGACTTCCCAAGACTGGTCTTGCTGGCCACGGTTCGTGCAGGAGCAATTCCGGAATACATGCGTCTCACCTCCGAGCTCTGGACCTTAAGGAGCACTGCTCATGCGTTTTGTGCCGGAACGTCTGAGCCTGGTTTCTGAAACGGGGCGGAGGCGTCTGGTGTGGTGGCCGGGGTGTCCGAGGGGCCTTGGGACGAGACGACGTGGCCGGCTGAGCAGGGATGGAAGATTAAGTTGGAATCTGCCAATGTGCGTGCAATTTTCAGAGGGGTTTTAGAAAAGCCGGCACTGGCCCATGAGTTCTTTTCGGCATCTTGTCCGTGGGTTGTGTTTGGTGTGTGGTGTTTTCTGATGATAGTAAGCTTGCGCTGTTCTTAAAATTGAGGCCAGCCGGGAGCAAGCGCGTTAGGTCTGGTCTCATGAGGAGGAGGGTGTCCGTTTTGGGGCTGTCAAGTCCCTTTCCCAACTCATTTTGATTCTCACCGAGTGAGCGTTGCATCGTTTGCGCGGCTTCGGGACGTTACAGTAACGTGACATTGGCGATCGTTAGGCTATTGCCCCAGTATGGGGTAAATCGTCCATTTAAAGTGCCGACGGGATGAGGGTGCGAGCTTATGCTTACCTAGGTGCTACTCAATATGCTACGCCTCCGTACGAAACAAAGGGTCGTCAGATGTCACGCATGCGTAAACCTTATAGCACCATGCCAAAGAAAGTCTCCTAGTCAATGCCAGCGAAGACCAACAGTGCTCATCCCCTTACCACAGCGAGCGTTGGCATCTAGTTCAACGCACCTTGCAATGCAGCCGTTATTTTCCCAGGAGTAGCCGAAGTCATCGTCTCAGCAGGCAGCCAACGCTCCCATGCCTTCTCGGACTGCCACTGTAGCCTCTCTCGCTCGAGCGTCGAGGCCATGGGCTAGCTAGCAACTGGTAGGACTACGAAGCGTCTGTTGTGTCCTCGGGACGCTGCCTTTTTTTCTTCTTTTTTTTCTTTTTTGCGAGAATTTTCTGGCGCCCATGATCGCGAATTAATGTTTCCTTCGTGAATATTGTCACGAAGAGATGAATATCCTGAAACAAAACAACATGGTTATCACGTCATTTGGGAATTCTTAGGTTTCCAACAGCTGGCAGCGGGCACGAAGCTCTTGCAAGCACAAAAAGAGAGCGACGGACGTGAGAACCCCAAAACGCTTCCAAGGTCGTACATGACAAAGGTCCCATTAAACGTGCCAGAGTGTGTTCCATGGACGTAGACTGCACAACAAAAGTCCCATCCTGCTCGCCGCTCAACGACAAGGCTCACGACTCGCCTCAACCCGGGATTGACATGAAGCCTTAACAACAAACATAATGGTTTGTTCGCTTACTGCATCTCCGGAATGATCTGCTTGAAAAGTACTCAAAGATGAAAGACGTGTAATGGGAGCATGGAAACATTGAGCAGAGGGACAGCGATTTGGTCTCACAAACCCCCCGTGGCATTGTGCACAGACTTAATTGGTATAAAGTTTTATTGGGCCGCTTACTCGAGCCCCTACATCGGCAACGTGGCCATATACATAATGAAGAGAATAAAATGGAAGGGAAGCTATAGTCATGTCTGTGCTGTCTCTTATCTCGTGAGACCTTGGCGTTGGCCCTGGCCCCAGCCTCGCCCGAGCCAGACCTGCCGAATGCGCCGTCCCACCAAACGCCAGGAAAACGCTGAACAATGCAAATCGAAGGTGGTACAACAAAACAGTACTCGTACCCTAGCTCCAGTCGGGCTGGACTCAGAAAGACTCGCTCGCACAACGACGTGTCTCATTGTATTTTGATGGCTTCGAACAGAGACAAGCTCAGAGCCGTGTCGTTTTCGCCCACAATCGGCGACGGCTCACTCAGTAATTCCCATCGTCGGAATATGTACGGTGTCAGCCTCGCGGAACCCTGCACGCTAATGGGGATCTTCGGTCTGGGTGGTCCATTTGACGGTGGCGTTGGCGTCTGTCGATGCGCGAGCATAAATTGCTCCATCCAAGGCGCGGCGTAGCTGAAAAGATATCGTATCCCAGCGTCAGACGTAACGGGAGTTTGAAGTGAGCCTCCGATAAGGATGGCGCGCACGCACTGCAAGCGTGACTCTTCGGGTAAATGATCAACGAGGAATAGGGCGAGGTCGAAAGTCGTCTGTCGTAGTTGCCGACCAGAGCTTGCTTCCTCACAGCTGATGTTATCAAGCTCAAGCATGATGCCGGACAGCACGACGAGCATGCGTGCGCGAACATCATTGGCCGCCGCCGTCGTGGGTGGTTTCATGCTGGCTGGCTGCGTGGGCGACAACACCGGCTCGTTTGCCGTCGTGTGAAGTGTGATGAACTTTAACAAGATGGGCAGCCAGTGCTCGATAATCGCCATCCTCAAGTCCTTCCCAATTATGTCCGTGGCCGCCAGCAACTCCCAAAGCTCCGTCAACTTTTCTACCATGGACATGTTGAGTTGAGTAGCCTTCAGTGCTGGCCGCCCACGAATGATAGCCTCGACGACCGATAGCAGACTTTCTGACAGTCGAACCGTGTCCTCAGATGAGTCCCTGGCAGTCGACATAGTCTTGAGCGATGGTACTAGGCTGAAGAGCCTCGTCTGAGCCTGCCGCTTGAGATGATCTGTGATTTCCTCGCTCAGATAAGGCAGCACACTCGTCCACATCATATTTTTCGTCTCCACGGCCTGGTCCAGGGCTTTGGACAGCATGTCAACGTGAGACGGAGGCTGTTCATCTCCACTGCTGCCACTCGCTTTGCTCGCTGCCAGGCCTATCGAAAGTTTCAACTGGCAGAATGGGAGTGTAAAGTCGTTGGCGAGCTCCAGCACCGTTTCGAACGTCATAGGATCACTCGGATCCCGAGTCGGCGCCAGCAGTCTTGTGGTGATACTAGCAAGCACCTCGCTCAGCGGCGAGTCTGCAAGCTTGGTGCCAAGAATTTGCACGGTGGTCGGAGAATCGTTCAGCACAAGAAGTCGTAGTAGATCCAAAACATCGTCCCGAAGATCTTGCCGGGCCAAAGGGGCACTTGCTGACATTTCGGAATTTTGCAGCTTAGAATACTCGATGAGAGAATTCCTGATAAGCACAGCCAGCTCCCTGTGGTGTTGCTGTGGTGCCACCCGCTGCTGTACATAGAAGCGATATGCTTCTTCCTGTGAAAGGGCGTTCTTAGGCGGTAAGGGACTGACGACGAGCTGAAGGACCTCTTGCATGTATGTTGACGTGCAACCAATTTGACCTCCGACTACTTTGCTGGGATCGACTGTCGTCGTTGTCATGATGGTAGACAGCCCCAGGCAGCCAAGGCTGATGAGGAAGGGATAAATGTCGAAAAGGGTTGGTCGTGTCTTCATAATGCTGACATGGTGGACCCAGTCTGTCATGCGGACGTCAAAGTGCTGAGTGTCAAAGATACGAAGCCTGGCCAGAAGGGCACTGTAGGCATGCTGCTTCTCCGAGTCCTTCGCCCAACTACCCTCGAGACGCGTGACGACGGTGTGGAAAAGTCGGTCCATGGTGGGACGGTCGAGGCTCGTGCCGCCAGTGAGTAGCCTTTCAATCTCGTCGTTCAGCTCGCCCTCCGCATCCTGGAGGCGCGCAGCCATGTTGTCCGAGACTGGCGAGCAAGCGTCGATCGCTGTGCTTTGATCGATCTGTTGGAGCTCCTTTCGAAGGTGTGCTGACGTGTTGGCCAGGCCCGGGAGCCTGGCGGTCAGGGCTCCCAGGGCCACTAGCAGCGGTCTGACTCGAACTCCTTGCTCGTCGTTGACAATCTTCATTCTCTCGAGTAGCAGATCGCAGAGATTCCGCGCCACGTTCATTGCTGCGAAGGTAGCCAGATGAACGTTGACTGTGTCGGCGCATGAAGCCAGTATGTCCGCATCAGGGAACCTGCTGGTCAACTTGATCATCTCGGCCATGGTCGTGAAATCCTTGGCTGCCTCCAGTATAGACCGAGCATGGTTGAACGCCGTCGGAGAAAGATGAATGTCGGAGCTGGATTCGTATTCGTCCGTCTGAAAGATTCGTAACAGTCGTGCGCCGACCTCAGTCTGCAACGCCCGGCTACTGTTGCTGACGGCACGGCATATCTTGGCCAGCGGCATCGGTCTCCTTTGTACTGGTGATACCTCTGCGTTGGACGAAAGGCCGAGAGCGTGACGGATAAAATTCCACGCGGCATCGATATCTCTGGCTTCCTCTGCCACATCGAATGCCGCGCGTCGCAGCAGGTTTGCGCGGGTCGCTATCAATGATGAGCTAAGCGCGCTCAGCGGCAAGTCGATGAGCAGTCTCGTAGAGCAGGGAGCATCGGGTTCGGTATCTAGCGAAGACGTCATCCCCCCGCGACCCATGAGCCAGATGATGTACTCTCGAACGTTGAACTGGCCAGTTCTGACAAGTTCAGAAATCAGCTGGTAAAATAACCGCTTTGGGGTCACCCCCTGAGGAGGTGCAGCGCCGATGGACTCAAGGATCGCCGTGGTGATATCGACACCGGTAGAGGCCCAGGCGCGGAGCAAGCTTGCAGCAACATAGATCCTGGCTTGTCCAGGACGGTAAAAAGAAGTCGACCACTCAAGGACGGTTCTCACAATCATTCGCTTGTCCTCGCTGACATTCCAGCAACTCGATGCCAATTCGTTCGTATATAATGTCTGGAATGTCGTGTCAAGCTGTTTAATCAGGATCTGGCGGTTCGCCGGTTGAGACTTGCCACTTGAAGCAATGAGTATCTCGTTTCGTGAGTTTAGGGCTTTGTAGGCGCTCAGAACGGCATCGTTGTCTATGGGGATAGAAGCAAGGAGGGTTTCTCGACAACGAAGCCACGTCGTGGGTGATAAGAAGTTGTCTGGGTAGGAAGAGAGCAAGGGCAGTAGGAGTGAGGTGAGCTTGGTGGAGAGCTGCGTCAGAATGTCGCGATCGGGGTCGTTCTGGATCTTGAATCGGCCATCAGTGCATGTTCTTCCACAGAGAGAGGTGAACGAGTGACATACCGTGGTGAGGTGGCTGAGTAGAGCATTCGCTAAGCGGCGGCCGTGTCTGCGAAGACGAAGCAGGTCCTTCCAGTATATTTGACTGATCAGGATCCACATGGGTAGCTTCGACTGGGTGCTGTTTTCGAGGCCGCCGACCAGCCAGTCCATGTAATGATCGCGGTCGACTAGGTGTTCAGCGTACAGGTGTGTAGCCAGACGTATGCTACAAACGTTGGTCAGTAACGTCTCTCAGGGCTTGAAGTGAGGAAGAGGAAGAACCTACGCATACTGCACCCTGGCCTTCCAGTCAACCTCTCCGAAAGCAGATGCAACGCTCTCAACAAATTGCTCGACATACAGGGTCCAGTCCTTCAACCACTTGGCCTCGCCACCCATGACGACTGTACCGTTTACGCCCTTTCTCTTGACGGTCCTCAAATCATTGGCGCCAACACAACGGACCAGCCACACTGCACGCTCTGTAGGTACGTTCTTGTTGAGACAGTGATCGAGAAGACCTTTGCCGCGGATTCCGTGAGGAATGGTTCGACTCAGTCGACGAAGCGAGATGGCCGGGTTCGCCAGATCGCGCATCCAGACTTCCCGCTTGGTATCGGTAAGGGTGACGCGAGGTGGAGGCTTAAACGCCGAGGGTGCGACGACCTGTCCGTTGTGTTTCCTCTGGTTGAGGACACCGACAAAAATACTCGACAGGAGGTTAAGACCGTTCTTGTGCTTCAGAGCTGGAAAGATGGCAGGCTTCGCTGAGGTCGTCTCGGCCTGGGTGACGGGTGCCTTGTCGAAGTAGCCATTCTTGATAACAGCATCGGAAAGGCGGTCCTCTGGGTGATTGCCAGTCCACGAGAAGAAGTCCGCATTGCCCATGTCATGGGACTCCTTCGCTGTGGCCGAAGTACCGTACCCAACTTTTGTCGCATCCGCCTTGGGGCGGTTCAGCGGGGCATATCGTGGGGCGTCGGGTGGTACTTCGGCGCTGTATGGTTTCGGACGACCATCCTTCTTCGTGGCTATGACGGCAGGCGTCGGGTCCTTGGATGGCGTCGGCAGCGCAAACCTCGGGCGGCGTTTGGGCATGGGCATGGGTGGGTTGTCGTTGTCGAGCGGCCCGGCTCTGGTAGAGGCGGGCGAGTTTGTGTCGGCGAGGCTCGATGCGTCGTTCTTGGGGACGAGGCGTGAGGGCGTGAGGTTCTGGGGGCTTTCGGTGGCGGGCTGGAAGAGAGTAGAATCGTTGGAGAGCTCGAGCTTGAGGCGGGAGCCTCCCCTCCTCGGCACGGTGCCATATCGGTTCTGCGCGACGGCGGCATCGTTCGAGTCGCCGGTCAGGTCGATGAGATTGCTGGGCTCCTTTCGGACGGGCGACGGCGGCAGATATTGGGCAGAGAGGGTGCGCTGGTGAGGAGGCCGTTGGACCGTCAAGCCCGAGCTGCTCAGGGTTCGCTGCTGGGGCGGTCGCGGCTGGACGCCCATCGGGGTCCGGGAGGTCATGGCTAGCACGGGGATGGCTGCGACATGCTGCGCGATTGTTGTGGAGGGAGTCAGTTGGGTCGGAGGATTGATCAGACAAGTGGCGGCGACGGAGCGATATCGATGAGGGTTCTGCGAGGGGTGGTCACCGGGCCTCGCGACGCTGGGAAAAGGGTCGTGATGATTACGACGGACGGCGGACGCCGGATGAGATGATGTTCAGCCCCGGGCACAGATGACAATGCAGACGGGGCTCGAAGGGCTCAAGAGGTGTGTCGGGGTGCGGCTGTTTGATGGCGATGGCGACGATGAGAATGATGAAACAGATTAATGTCGTGATAGTTGTCAAGCCCGGTAGGAGTATGGTCAATCAGAGACAAGCAGGCGCTATCGAGGCGACGCAGAAGCAAAGGAACCAAAGACGAGGCGGACTGGACGGGACGGGAGCACAGAGCACAGAGCACAGAGTACAGAGTACAGAACAGAACACAGAGCGTTGGTAGGTACCACCGAGAGTAGGAGCAGCGCAGAACAGAGTACGCCAAGCACGACCGACGTGACTAGGGTCCGGACAAGGTACTTTGCTTGGTAAGATGGGCGTCGGGGTACCTTGGATGGCCCAGTCCAGCGGCGAACTAGCTGGCCTCCTGGCTGGCTGGCTGGGACGTGTCGCCAGTGCAGGTGTGCGCACCAGGCAGGGAAGGGAGCGCGAGCCGTGGTAGGCGCGGCGTGGGAAGGAGGGATCGAAGGGGGGCTTTGGGGGGGTGTGGTGGGAGGGGAGGGTCAGGCAGGGCGCAGGTCCCCCCCCCCCCCCTGTTGCAGCGCACCCAGCAAGGAACAAATCGGGGGCGAGTAGGAGGGCAGGACGGTTTCGACATTTCGCCGGGGGTTCGGCGTTCGGTTGGCGGGGGGTCCAAACAGCCCTCGAGCAGGGCACATGGTAGACGTTGGCTGTCAGGGTCGTCGGGGATCCTTTCCAGCACGCCAGATACCTATCTACCTACTGACTGGTAACCCCCCGTCAGTGCCCACCTCCCCAGTCACGCCACCCGACAGCCCCCGCGTTGAGTCTTGCTGTTCACTGGCTCGTGGCGAACAGTGTACCTACCCGACGCGAATCGCCAGAATGCCCCCTTGCTCTCATGCGGGCGGCTTCGTCACGAGACCAGACACGAACCGATCAGGTAACAAAAGTCGACGAGATAGGTAGACAAGTGCTCGCTGCGATTAAAAACCCCGCACAATGTCTCTATCTCCTATTCCATGCACAGTTGACGAATCCATGTCATGATTTGTCCACGTCGTCTCGGGCATCGCTCGCTCCGCAATTGTTGGGGGTTGCGGATTCAAAAGGCCTAATCTTGATCACCTGCAACGCTGCCTGTCTACCTACCTACATGGTGGGTAGATAGTGATTGACTTGAACCCCGAGTGGTAGTTCCCGACTACCCGTCTCGACTAGCCGGAGCGAGATTTCCACATGTGGTTGTCGACCCTGGTCCCAGTCGCCCTATCGGTTATGGGCGAACCCAATGAAGGACGGCTTTCCGATGGGGCTCCGGGTACTATCTAAGCATCGCTCCAGCCTTCAGCTCACACCTCGGAACGGAGTTTCTCACTCCTGTAGTGGCAGATCCCATGCCCCGTGCCCTTACACACAGCTTTCGTGGCATCTCAGCTCGGCACCAGGTAGAGAGATAGGGCCACCTACATGGTGGGGTGTTGTTGCATCTGGCTACGCGCAGATTTGACTGGCAGTTAACTGGAGACATCATACGTGGACATCCAAAGCCCCAGAGTGGTGTAACGGAACCGGATCTGTGTCCCGGCTAACCCGCACATCGCTTCAACAGACACAAGACGATCCTATCTCTGGCATCCTCGGTGCTCTGGAGTCCTCACGACCAAGTTCATGCGCTGAGTGCTGTTCAATGCAAGTATCCTGTTCTATGCGTACACTCGGATATCCCTGTTAGCAACACGGGCGGATCCTCGAGGACCCTTCATCTCGATCTGCTCGGGGAGAGGGGTGCATCCTGTTGTTCCGAAACTGCGATAAGTCGACTGCAAGCATCGCACCCTCCCCCCCTTCTTTTCTGCCAATCCTGTTGTTCGCGTGAGTCTAGCCCGCCACAAGCCACAGAGGGGCTTGCTGCCCCACACTGCTAGACACCTCAGGCCAATATCTCCAATCCCGCACCCCCAATTTCACCCCCAACCCCAGATTTCCCATGCGACTGCACAGCGACGACCGACTCCGCCATTGAAGCTATCGTGTCTCTGGTCTCTGCCGGCACGTCAACCATCAACAACCCATTCGAGATGGCTTCCAAGAAGGACATGCGAAGGGCCGACCTGGGTACGTTGTTCTGTCCATGCCTGACCCCCATCGATCTTCCTTCTACCACATTTTCGTCTGCCAATGCCCCAACTAATATCTCTCCAGTCATCCCCTACCAGGCGCCCAAGCCCAAGGAGACGCAGGAGCTCTCCTCCACTCTCTCTAGCACCCTCCCCATGGCCGTCATGCTGACGCGCAACCGCTTCATCGGATGGTACGAGATTTACCCGCAGCCCTTCTGGAATCACACGTGTCGTCGCATGTCGAGCAAGCCTCTTGTCTCCGCCCCCCCCCCTCCAACTGTTGCGAAATCAAGATGTGGCGTCTCCGCACGAGATCATCAAAGAAACTGACACGTCGTTGCACAGGGCTGCCGTCATCTACAGCGTCCAGAACTGGCTTGGCGAGAGCGAGGATCAGAAGAAGACCGCCACCACTCCAGGCTACTTCAACGTGACCATGTCCCGTACGCAACCCCGCTCCTCCTCCATCACAAAAGGTGCTAACAACCACATCACAGTCGTCTCCCTTCTCGTCGCCTACCTGCCCCTCTTCCTGCCTCCTAAGCTGGCCGCTGCCGCCACTGGCACTGCGCCAGCCGCTCCTCTTCCTTTGCAATGAACGTCTCGAGCGAATCATGTAGCAGACGGTAGATGTAAGATGTCTGGAATCTGTATCACACGTTGAAACCAGGGACGCCATGGGGGGAAGGTCCCAGGCCCTCGCAACCAACATATATTCTGGGTGGAACTTGGCGTCGTGGGCTTCCTTGAGGTTCTTCCTGTGCAGGTTGGGAGCAAGGGACTCGCTTTGCAGCGAATGATTGTACAATACCCAGATATCCAGGGACGGCTTATGTTTTAATCACCACGTTAAGATCTCCTTGCCAGATTATGGACTTGCTACCCATGGCCTCTGTCTGCGCTCTGGAGATAGCCTTGACTACATCATAATGGGTATTATTCTATTGTTATATACGCTTTGGTGCTTTGACATGCGAGACATACACCTGAAGCAATCGTGTGGCTGACGAAGGAGATAGACCAGAGGCTTAGCTGTCGAAGAGGTCTTGTCTGAGATGCTATATTCTTGAAAGCTCCTTGAACCACTTTGCCTTGGCTGAGATAGTGTATGTTCGCCATGTGCAGATTTTATACAAGCATGACATTCCTGGAATATCACTGAACTATCTCAAACTCGTCACGGAAAATCATCGTTGGATGCTACTGCAGCAAATGCTTACTTAGACACACTATCTTTATCTAACGGCTATGCTATCTCCTTCTTCTCTCAGAACGTCGAGGGAGTCGCCGGTCTAGAGATAGACAAACTGCCTTTGCCTATAGAGACTGCATCGTCTTTTGGCTCGAAGCATCATGATTATCTTTGTCTATGTACGGCGGCAAATGCGATCAGTCTTCCAAGTCGACAGATCTCAACGCACATGGTTCTCAAGCGTTCCGGACCCGTTACTACCACTCTTGCACGCTGCATAACGAAACAGCCCGCTGTTCAAATGCGGCCTTGGGCTGCGGCCTTGTGTGCTGTCGTAAGGCCCATCTCCAGGCTCAGTAAACGACGATGAACGTTGACGATACACGTTAACACGTTGACACGCGCAGCCACGACGACCACATCCCAGAACCCCTCAGCTACGGTCCTACCCAGCTCTTTCAGACAGCTTCAACTCGCACGAACCAGGAAGGAGGGCCTTGTCCAGGGACCAGACATCGAAAACTCGCCGAAATACTACGTCGTGTCCATGGGTGCCTTCCCTCAATTCAGGGTGCTCAGGCTGCCCCTGAAGATCATCAGGATGGTTATCGATCACCTCTCCCAGAGCGACACCATCAGTCTTGCTCAGACGGGCCGCGCCATGGCCAAAGTTGCCATCCACAGCATCTACTTCAAGGACCGTGACTCAGGCCGACAGTGGGCTCTCAATTTGGGCTGCGATCTTGGCCTAGTTGACCTCGTTCAGAAGGCCGTCGAATACCGGTATGACCTCAACAAACTCACAGACGAAGGCGTGCCTCTCTCGCGTGCGGTCCGCCACACCCACCTCGGCGACAAGATATCGGTAGTCGAGATGCTGCTACGCAACGGGGCCGACCCATCGCTCTGCAGCAGCCACCCCTTGCTCACCCACTTCGCCCACAACAACGGCCTCGTGCTGGGCCACTGCCACACGACCATCCCAACGCTGCTCCTCACCCACGGCGCCCGGCCCTCGGCCATCGAATCCAGCGGCATCCGCCTCATCAACCTGGCCATCGACCGCGCCGACAATCTGTGCTGCCACAGCCACGGCTCAGTCTGCGTCCTGCGGCTCGTGCAGCTCCTTCTCCGGCACGGCGCCAGCGCCAACAGACCCCTCTTCACCGGCAGCGTCTCGCCCCTCGTGCGCGCCATGTGCTCGCAGCACCGGCCCGTTGACCTCTTCCACCTTCTGCTCAACAACGGCGCCGACCCCGGCGCCGCCTCCGACCTATACCTCGCCCCTGGCCGGCCCTTCCACCTCGCGCTGGACCTGCCGCGGCAACCGCAGGTTCCGCTGAAGTGGGCCATCCTCTACCTCCCCAGCACGACCGACTGGGACGACAGGATGCAGATGGCCAAGACCCTGCTCATCCGCGGCGCCAAAGGCAGCCAGCTCTGGCGGAACATGGTCCTCCACGATGTGATCGAGGCGGCGGGCTCGGATGAGAGCGCTGCCGTCGTGCCTTTCGGGGTGGCCTATGATCTGTGCGCGCTGCTCCTGCAGGGGGGAGCCAATCCGAATTGCATCAAGGGTGGCGAGATGCCGCTGCAGAAGCTGGCCTCGGCTCATGGATTCAATGAAAAGGATCGGATGCTCCTCGCCGGATTGTTGATGGCCGGAGGAGCTTGGGAGTAGATGGAGGATGGTTCTGTGATGACGACGATGATGACGAGGCCGAGCTACGGAGCCGAGATACTGATACGGAGGGTTTGTGGCGCTCCTACAGAGTACTGTCGTTTGGGAGTTGGGGAGTCTCTTGTTTGAGAGTCAATGTTGTGCTCAAACGCTGTTTACCTACAATTCGGCATATGGTATACCCCAGGAATTGCGACCATGTTTACTAGGGTCAACCTGACTGCTGTCTGTGGCTATTCACGAGGGTGCGCGGTGGTCATGTTTCCGTTCGCTCCCAAAATCCATACGAGGTCGATTCCGAGTACTCAATGTGGCGGCATGGTTTTGGCGATTCAGCATCGCACCAGGCGGCCCAAGCAAACCCTACCAGTAGTCAACCGCCGGATCTATCTTCTGGGGTCGTAGAAGCGATCATTTGAGATGATCAGCCATCACTACCCTCATGTGGGGGCACAAATTTGATGACAGGTTCACACGGAGTCATTTCTCAATGTGTGCTCAAGGTGTGCAAGATGCATACTTCGGGTCGATTCAGATACGGCTTGCCGTCAAAGGTCACGCATCGGGAAGGATGTGAGAGTTGGTTGGTCTATGTCTCAAAAAGGGTGCCTCGTATGTGTAAGGACAACAAAAAAACGTCGAAAGTCAACGATTTTCGGGGAGGTGGAATGGCCTCCGCAGCGGGCTACGTCAGTTCATGTTCCACAGCATACGAAGCTGAAGTTGGTCATGATGAATGGCGTTGCCGCGTCCGAAGTCGTTGAGCAGCGGCAGATTTCGGGAGGTGGAGCGGAGCCCTTCTGTGACGATGCATGACTAAGACGATGTTCGGATGGTACCGATGGTGGGCCACTACTATGTGGTACGGCAAGTACGGGTACGGGTAGTGAATGCGCCTACGGAGGCAGGTCAGGGGATCAGGGGTCGTCTGTGGCCGTCGTTGGGTGGTAGGTGCTGGCGCCAACGTTCGCCGGTGCATTGAATACCCAATCCCCACCCGCCGCAGATAGAGATCAAGACCACATGGTTGGGAATTCGAACGAACCAGTCGATCCATCTGCAATATCCAAGATCCATGGGTTGGAATATCGGCGGCAAGCGCAGAGGACGACGACGACGATGAACAGTCGTCATCCTTCGCACCGCAGCAGCGGTTGATGGCACGACAACACAAGAGGAGGAGAGAACATCAGCCAGCGATCAGGCACGGTGGGTTTCAAGGCCGTGGCTGAAACCACCACTCGCCCTCGGCCGTGACACCTTACGAGACGGTTCTCGTCACAGGCCTCAATTCACAGCCCTCGCATGGCCCCATTGTCACCTCACCTGGTGGTATTTCGCGTTGTGGCTGACATCACATTCTCTCATGGCCCGCCAGTCGCCTTCCCAGCCCTGATCCCTTCCATCCATGCTGTGCCTGGCCCTTTGAGATCTGCAACGTCAGGTGCCGCTCGGTGCTGCTCAGTGCTGCTCAGTGCAACGTCAGCTCCGCCGCCCCCCCCTCTCCTGCCGCCTCTTCGTCTACGGTAGGGAGGCTCGCGATTCTTTTCTTCCTCTGACAACCCATCCGCCGGAACGACACCATAATTTCTCATCGCGGGCCCAATTCGCTCTCTTCCCGCCGCCTCGCCCGCGACTTTCTTTCTTTCGCTTCGATTGTCAGCTGGTCTGTCCCTTTACTCCTCCGACCTTGCGCCCTGGCGGTTTAATTCTCAAACCCCACAATCAATCAATCTCGCCCCTCCCAATTTCCGCCCTACCGAAAACGAACCACGCGCCGCGATCGATCCAGCCTGGCGCCATCGAATCGAACCAGACGACTACCTGCCTCGCCCGCTTTTTTGAGTTGGACTTGTCATTGATACACACATACAACCCACGAAGCCCACGCCGTCGGATCGTCCCGAACGGCAGACGAACGACGATCGCTATTCCGCCCGTTCGACAGCTGTCCCGTCCTCGCACGAGAGATAGCCCGATCCGTCACGATGAGGTTAACTGTCGCGGCCCTCCTCGCCATGGCCGCCTCCCTCGCCTCCGGTGCCGTCGTCATCACGCCCGTCACGCAAAACCAGGTCGTCGACAGAGTCAGCGGTGACTGCTACTTTGGCGTTGCCACGCCCCAGGGCTGCGCGTGAGTGAAGGGCCTTCCAGCTGGTGTTGGAACTCCGGACTGACGAGGTGTAGACCCCTTCGCAAGTAGGAAGCGACTACGACGAAAAATGAGATACCCCGCCTCGACCGCCGCCTTGCTCTGCCGAAAATCGAACTAGTCTTAATCAAATGCTCTTGAACAAATCCACAACACCATGCTGGCGTAACCCGCAGGCAACAGAACAACGTCGACAATAAACAGAAAATCAACCTGCCTGCGCCTAAGCCAAGGTATGCATGGAAGAAGTCGGGAGGGACGGGAGAGAACGATACGGGGAGAGACCAAGAGAGAAGTCGTCGACGTGAGAGCGATGAGACGGGAGACACAACCTCATTTTGCATCTGCAGCGAAGTAATGACCACGACCACAAGCTTGCACGTCACGCCGGCTTGGTCTGGACTAAGCAACACCCCCCATCCCTCCTTTTCTTCTTCTTCTTTCTCACACATAGACACACTCTTGGAACATATGCGCCATGCCGGCCGCAACAATTTAAATTACTGGGAAATAGCGAATGCTTGCCGAACACACGACGCTGCCCGTATTACTGCTTCCACGCGCGATCCCTCCCGTGTTGCCGTCCTGACCGCGCCTTCTGATACCACATATGCACGCATACATCAAACTTTTTGCTCTCTCTCTCTCTCTCTCTGTGTGTGTGTGTCCTTTTCTGTCCTTGTCAACTTCCACCTGGGCGATGCTCACCGGACCATGATCCTCTCGCCGTCTGCGTCCTCGTTTTACTCTGCCACGGCACATGATGCAATGCGATAGGACGCAATGAAAAATCAAACCAAAGGCAACTGACAAAAAGTCAAAGGCCTTCGTCACCAAGGCCATGCTTTGGCGCTCCTGCCCTTGTATCGTTTTGGCGTTCGCCCGTCTCTCCTGACCTCTCAGACGCTTTGGTTGATCCCCCGAGGGTAACCCTTACTCTGCGGGACCATTAGCAAAGTCCCCGGCCTCGCAGCTTCATCGCAGCGCAAGGTTGGGAGAACAAGAAAGCAGGACGTACAAGGCACTCATCGCACGCCGCGTGGCTACCCGGCATCCAGTTGATGGTAGGGTATGCAACACACTGACCCGTGTTGTAGTACATGCAGGGATAGCGGTCCGACATGTTGGGCAAGCTTTGCGGGGAGGGGGCTCTTGGGGGAACGCGTGTGTCCCGAACAGCCGTGTGAGATGTCTGTATATGACGTGAAGAGGTAGAGACGGAGACCCGGGGTGGGGAGGGGCCGAAGAAGTAGCGTTTTCTTGTCTCTGTGGTGACGAGGGGATGCAATGAAAAATGAAGGTAAATGCGGCCGATGAAACTGATTTCCACCTCTTCCACGGCTCACCTTTTCGAGGGACGAGAAGCAAACTCGACTTATATAGATCTTCGCCCGTCGCCCGTCGCCCGTCGACCGTCGATGGCTTCACATGTCCACCAAGAACACCTGCCAACGTCGTGGGGGAACGATCGATACGGTGTCTATTCTGAGGAGCTTTCGACGTGACAGCAACGAGTCCGGATCTCACGGGTCTCTGTCCGCGGCGAGGTGGTTGTGTGCACGCGGCGCGCCTCCGGTCGACTTGATTTGATGCACGCCGTTCTAGTCCGCAGCATGCACTGCGACCCCTCACCTCGCCCCTTCTTAGCCTTGCTTGTCCTATTCATGCCATGCACGTCGTTCTATTGTTTCCTCCTTCTCCCATGTTGTGTCACCCCAGAAAATCCGTGGCGATGCCCGCGTGGGCTGATTGAGCCGACCCTCCCACAACCGCCGTTACATCAGTTCATAATACAGACAAGACGGGGAGTGTTCCTCATAGGTCTCGCTCTCTCTTCCTAAGGCTGCCACGTCATCTCGCCTGTCACTCGTCCCTTACGTTCGTCGCCCACAGGACCATTGATATCGACTGGATTGCTTTCACCCCTCGACCCCCTCCCCCTCGTGGTGCCGGTCAATCAGCCGGCCGGAGGGCCCAGCTCCTGCGCCTGGGGTCGCACGTAGCCCGAGGCCGAGACCCCGCCACCTTATCGACCTAGTCAGACTGGCGGTTACATCCGGTGACACGCGGTCTGGGCCGGTGTGGACGCCGGGGGGCGCCATCCGGGTATTAGGAGATGGCCGATGCATCATATCAAGTCTGCTGCCACCACGACGAGGCAATGGACGAGCGCTACAGGACATGCCCCCCCGCCCCCCACAACTGTTGACATCCAACCGCATGTCTTTTGGCTGAGTTCCGAGAGCCCAATGCCCAATGACCACCTAGGGCAAGCACAAAGTGGCTTGCATGTTGACAGTGCCAGCTGGCTGAAAGCCCAAAACGAAAGAGTGTAAGAGAAAACATGGCAATACTCACAAAACTTTTCGAAGGACTTGGCATTCCCATGTCCTCATAGGAGCTTCGTCATACGCATTCTTGCCCAGGTATACCCTTGAGCACTCATGCAGGAAGGAAGCAGGCTTGAATAACCAACGTACAGATTTAGGGGCTATGAGGTCTGCGTCCGGTGTTGATCGTCGTACGCGCAACTTCGTCCTCGACCAGTCGTGGATACAGGAGCAAACCCACTCTCGCGGCCCTCTCAAGAACCCTCCTCACATCGAAGGGAAAACTTGGCTCGCCGATCGGCCGTCATGACGCCCCAATGGCACTCGGGCGCCTCCACACCATCCTCACCAACGGCATTCGGCTTCCAAGGCTCGTCGAACGCCTCAAACACAAAGACGTTGTACCCCCAACCGATCATGCCGCACACCGCTTGTTGGTAATACTGCTCAGCCTGCGCCTTCCCAGGCGTCGCGTTTCCGTAGCTGCTCCCTTCGCTCGGCCATCCGGTCTCTCCCACCCAAAGCTCCGGCATCTTGCTCCCTCGTGCTCTGTCTTCCACGTGAAGGTACGCCTGCGCAATGCTGTCAAAAAAGGTCGCCGTCGCATTGCTCACGGCCTGCTTCTGCCAGTATGAAAACGCATTTACGAGGACAAGGTCCGCTGCGTTCACCACGGCGTCAGCGGTGCCGTCCTGAAACTTGTTCCAACTATCGGCCGTGCCCACTCGGACTCCTGGTGCCGACACCCTGAAGTCATTCATCTTGGCCGCCAGTTCCGGGCCTGTAAAGTTCCTTCGGTACAACGTCTCGGAACCGACGGTCACGGCGTAGATCTGCGAGGCATACGCCGTGTCGTGCTGTAGGACGGCAAGTTTGTCTACCGTGTAGGACTCTTCAAGATCCGGCCTCGACTCGACTGTCAGTACCCTCACCAACCTCGACAATCTCAAAGGAAAGGCGAAGCAAGCCTACCAGATACCCAGAACGACCTGGAAGCCCTGGCTCTTGGCGGCGGGAAGAATCTCCTTTGCCGTCTTACACTGATCTGCGGCGTAGATACGGACGAGCTCGCTGCCCGACTCTTTCTTGATGGCCTGCATATCGGCCTCGTAGTCGGCCTGAAGTTTGCAGCTGCCATCTGCGCGCTTGGACCCAAGATCGAAGCCTAGAGTGCCAGCTGCGACAGCTAGGTTCGAGAGAAGGGCTGTGAAGGTGATACAGTCGATGATGAGATGCATGGCGGATGTTTTTGACGCGTGTGATTCTTAGAAGCGTAGGGACAACGTATTGAATGATGACGACTTAGGAGTTCTAGGATGCTGATCGACGATATGGACATGACTTGGACGAAGGGAAATGTTCCCAAGACTGTTGCCGAGTCACAGATGCTGGGGACAGACCCAATGGAAAAGACCAAAGGCAGTCACAGGCAGCCACTACGAGGCAGGAGCACTGGAGGTAGCACTTTCACCCCCACTCATAGCAGCACCTTTGTGCCTGGCGGAGGCGTCCGAATCATGGAGAGTTCACCTTCTCGAGCTGTCTGGTGGTCCAGGACGTCGCACAAAGATACAACAATGACGATGTTCAAGACAGGAGGGACCGCAGATGCACATGTCGCATCAATTAAAAAGCAACCAGTGCAAAACAACAGCATCATGTTCTCATGGATCCTAACTAGTTGTATCCAATGCTAACATGTTTCTCAATATACCAGACATGCGGTGGAAAGCGCCCCCATCGTGCGTCCAATCCGTCTTTGGGATGCAGTTGCCCGATACAATGCATCGTCCTAACGCCAGTACACCAGAGATGATCCCAAATGCAACTATATGCGAGCTCCATTTCCCTTTTTATAGAAACAAGAAACAAGAAACAAGAACACTACGAGAGGAACATGGCGACGGCGACACCGGCCATAGCAACCCAAGCAGCAGCCGGCGTCAAGTGGCCAGCAGCGCTGTCGCCGTTAGACGAGCCGCCGTTGCTGCCGGCGCCACTGTTGCTGTTTCCACTGCTACCCGTGTTGCCCTCGCTGGCGTCACACTCGCCGGTAAACTTCTGCGTCTCGTTGGCGCCAGCAGGGATCATCTGGAGGTTGGTGCCGCAGTTTACATAGGGAGCGAAGTGTAGGGCGGGCGTGTCCATGTCGAAGACGGTGTAGACCGATCGAAGAAACGAGTCGCCGAGAATATAGCTACCGTCATCGGCAGAGTCGGCACCCAGAACGCAGGTGTTTTGACCGACGTCCCAGATGAACTCCTCGAGGGGCACCTTGACCGTATAGCCATCAAAGGTGAAGTCGATGCTGCCTTCCATGTTACATGGAACGATGTACAGGTTCACGGAAGTGTCCATGCGGCCGCCGAGGTCGCTGGCAATATCGGCAATGAGACCCGAGGGCAGGTAGCTTAGGGTGGCGCCAGTATCGAAGAAGACGGGGAGAGAAGAGTTCCTGTAGGAAGACGAGTCGGAGCCGGGGGTACTGAGGCCAACGGAGTCCATCTGAACCCAGTACCTCCTCAGGCGCTCGCCATTCTGGGGACCAAGGATGGGCATGGTGTGCAAGTCGCCGCTGAATTTCTTCGTATCGACGCCGCCAAACGAGATAACGCCGCTGCCGGTGGGCTCATCCTTGGTGCCGAGGGCGACACCAAATGCATGAGTACGGGTCACGTTCTGGTTGACCATCTCATCGACCACGCTGGGATATTGCATGTTGATACCGTCACCAAAGCTGAGACCGAGAATGCCCATGGTCAAGTCTTGACTGTCGAGTCCGTAGCCGAAAATAACCTGGTCGAGCTTGATGTCTGTGAATTGTCAGTCCTGCGGTCTAGGGGCGGCGGAGTGGCATGGGAGTTCAGCGACTTACCACTTCCCGGGATCGCGATCTGATCCGACACATACTGAAGCGCAACATCGCCCTTTCCATAACTGATGGTGTTCTGGGTCTGGGAGACGCGCGATGTGTCCGAGTCGGCGGGACGGTAGTGACCGTAGGTGTCGCAGATCTGCGCCTGGGAGGAACTGCCAGCGTTCTCGCAATTCGGGTTGACCCAGAGTTCGGAAGAGCCGGTATCGATAGCGACGCGGACCGTCTGCGCCGGGCTTCCAAGGTCGACTGCAACATGTCAGTGTCTACGAAGAAGTCGGAGGATGCTGTGACTGGTGTGCCGAAGACATACGCTCAATGAGGTAGCTGGTAGATGTCACATTGATGATCTGGACGTTGGTGTTGTCGACCTGTCGCTTGCTCCTCCTCCTCAGCTTTTCAAGAGACTGTATGCGGACATCCTGATAGACGGGGAGGGACAGAGGTGCGGCATTGGTGTTCGAGGGGGCGGCGGAGGCTTTGTCGTCGCGGGCAGCGGAGAGAGCCAAGGATGTGGATGTCAGGGACAGCAGCAAGTAGTTCTGTAGTAGCCCCATGGCTGTGGATGTCAAGCTGTGACGTGCCGGCGATGGCTAGTCTGCGGAGGACCCAAGACACAATAAGAGGAAAGAGCTGCTCGAGGAATGCAGACGTGACAGGTCTGGATGAGGCAACACGGAAGGCGTAAGGTCGGCGCAGGGAATCGTCAGAGCAGGACGCTGTAGAAGGAGAACAACGAGCGGATGCAATTCAGAATCAGAAAAGGGCAGAGATGGGATGAAGAAGGAGGTAAGCAGACGCTAACATGAAGCCCCGAGCACCACGCAATGGACAATGAGTAATGAGCACTGGGTAACGAGCGCCAAGCCGAGTATCAAGCACCAGAAGCAAGCTAAGAAATAGGAAAGAGGAATAGGACCAGCAGAAGCAGCAGGCCTCCGAATCGTCACTGACGCGTCCGCAAGCCACATCCCCCTTCGGGTTACCTGCTGCTCGCCTGGTGAGCGGGTCGTCGCTGGACTTCGCTGGGCTCATCAGTGGAGAGTAGCGGGGCGGGCCCGACGCAGGAGGCGGGAATACGTAGGCGAAATTCTGCAGGAAGGGTACCTACCCTGAAAGGGTAAGCAGTACCTTGGCAGAGTTACCGTCGTGGGCGGGATCCGGGCGAGGCAAGTCGAGACGAGACGAGACGAGACGAGACGATACAGGACAAGATAAAGCAACGATAACGTGTATATACCCCTGCCATCCCGCACTTACAGAATGTATACATTGGCACCCACAGGGCAGCGATAACCTTTCGGGAGGCTTTGCGCATGTGTGGGCTATATCCATCGATTGCTCTGCTCGTTGCTTGTCTTCCCATGCGTCTTGAACAGGGCAGCTGGGTACCGCTGGTAGGTACTCGGGGTACCCTATGCGCAAGAAGCACGGCACATTGGAGCCGGCATTGCGCAACCCCCTCCAACTAATGACCCTGATGCCGTGGCCATGGTGCGTTGCAGTGAGCGTCGAGTGTGCCCGATGACGAAGCTTACGGCGACTTCTCTGGCAGAATGGTCCGGGGGGCGGCGGGCATCAGTAACTCCTCTCTCTCGTGTGACCTGGCTTCCAGTGGATCGCGACGCCAAGCTGAGTGTTCAGTTGTTCAGTTGTTCCTGTAGCACCTGATTCCATATTCACGCCCCCTGACACCCGGCTTCCGCCTTCGATGTACCTGGGCGTTTGCTATGCAGGGCCTCTGCACGTTCCAGGCCAATAAGCGACCGCACAGGCGAGGCTTAATAATAACAATAACAGGCATTTGCGGCTGATCTGCACCGCAATTCGGATGGTTGTGAGACGGTGGCAGGCAATGCAAAAAAGTTCTTTTTCTTCGGGTCGCCCTCGGCATGCTACACAGGTAGGGGTGCTCATGACTAGAATTGGAGCATGCAATCAATCAATCAGTATTAGACGGATCTCGCGCCAGGTCACCAGACTCCGATCTGGACTGGAGAACCAGCCAGTTCGGTTGGCTCGGGGAGAGCGACGCGGCACCGACGTCACATCAAACCTTACTGACACGTTCTGTCTGGCTCTCTGTCGCTGGCCCTTTTGTTGGACTCTCTTCCGTCCACCAGTCCACACGCGGCCGTCGTCACCCAGAGACATGTGCGTACCCCCCTCCTGTAGCTCGTCCCACACGGCAGCAGCAGCAGCGGCGGCGCCTCCACTGCTTCTTTGCTTCGCCTTGCCAGGTAGTAATTGTGGAGGAGCTTAGGGGCTCACTCTAGGCACCTAGGTACCAGGTAACTAGGTCTGTTTCGGGAATGGGCGCGCCACCGCCACACCTCGCACATCGCAACTACCCCTTGCGGCACCTTACGTTCTTCCCTCCATGCTTGCGTCCTCGCCACAGTCCGCCCGCCATGAGTTTCAATGTGAGATGGCCTGAGACAACGGCCCCTTTTCACTCGAGAATGGCACGAGTCGCTTGAATTACCACTTCGACAATTACGCTACATGGGGCAACGAACAACTCTAAATGCCGCTGGCGGAGGAGTACGCTACTCAACGGGGAACTACGTGCTTCAACGTGCGCGACTTCGCCATGTGCCTGGTCTTGTGGCCTCTTCCGCATCTGTTCGCTCGTTCTTGGATCCATCGCCTTGGCGCCATAACACGATCTTCCAGCCAGGGGGGGTCGAGTTACCGAGAAGTATACGCCGTGGGCCGACTCTGTCTGGTGTTTGCGGCCGTAGGTATCACAAGGCTGGCCCACGAGACACTGGGAGATCATCGTGGGTAGTAAGGCGCTGCTGGCCTTGCAGCGGTTCATGGCCGCCTGCTCTGGCGACATGACGCGATCCGAGGCTTCCGTGTCCAGCCCGACCCTTTGTGGCCGGTCTGGCAATTCTTTGACCACCCAGACTTCAGATGCTTTTACTAGCTCACTAGCTGCGAGGCTATACACAGCTGACATTATCGTTGGCCTTGATCATACGTGCCACATCATGAGACGGGCATCACTCTTCACGGGCACCGATTGTTGCGACGCAGCAAGATACATATAGAAGCAATGAATTTCGCGAAGTCCGTCACAACAGCGAGAACAGTACTCCATGATACAACATGATCCCCTTGCCTTGACAAAGTACTGATGGGCGCTCCTGGTCCTGGACGAGTGTAGTGCGAGTAGAGTAGAGCAGCACTGGCTTGACCGGAACGCCATGTTGATCGATAAAGATAAAGAAATGAGGTGGAATAGGAAAAATGTTGATCGGCTCACCCTTGGCTTCTCCTATCGCCGTGCCGCAGACTTGACATGCCGAAAGGAAGCGAAAAGAAATGGACATCGTTGAAGCTAGTCTTACAGGGACGTTTGTGAACTCATTCGCTAGGAGGACCCATTAAAGCGACCTCAGCGTCTTTCAACATGGCACAACTTCCAGCCGCAACACATCAGTCCTCGTCGAAGATCTGGTACGTGTTCTGGAGAATGGTGTCGATCGCCTTGATCTGCCAACCCGCGTCCGCAATGGCAGTGCTCGGATCAGTGCCCATCAGCGTCGGGCCAAAAATGACGGCCAGGTTGTGGCAATTCATCCGGTTGACATGCGAGTTGTCCATGACTCGATGAAGATGCAGCGCCAACGCTCGCAACGTGGCGTAGTTGGGGTCGGGCAGGCTGTTGATGATAGCGTGGAGCGAGTCCCTCCTGACAATGTCGTCTTCGTGTTCTATATTGTGTTAGCAAGCAAGTCGGGAGGCAAATTGACACACGAGAAACTCACTAGCTGCCTCAATGAGCGCCGTGTGCTGCTCCATAGTGAGAAGAGGGTCTGACAGGTCGCGGAGAAACTGCTTCAGCAAGCCTGTGACACTGTTCACGTCGTGGTAGAAGTTTTCTGGGTTGCGGAAATCCAATGCTGGGTTGCTCGAGTCCGTGTCAAACATGTTTTTGAGCTTGTTGATGTGATTCAGCGACCCCGATTGCCTGTAGATACCCTCTACCCCAAGGCCAAACAGATCGACTGCCTGGATGCACTGATAGACAACCATAGGCACCGCCAAACCGTCGCGCTCATAGAGGCGTTCTAGTGAGAGACCAAACACAGGCCTAGTGGGCATCGGACCCGCCTGCGCCGGAGGCGATTGTCGGTTCTGCGGAGGAGCGGGCTGCTGCAGAGGTCCTGGCACACCATAGCCCGAGCCCTGAGAGGCTGGCCCGGAGGGAGGATGTTGCTGCAGGGGATTTTGGCCTGGTTGCTGCCACTGTGAAGACGATTGTTGATGGGGCGAAGACGACATTTGCGCTTGCTGCTGTAAGGGAGGAGACTGTTGTGGCGGCGGTTGCTGTGGCGAGTTCTGGAACGAGAGAGCTCCAAGCTGCGGGGGTCCTTGCGAGTTTGATGGGTTGTTGAACTTGGATGCAGGCAGAGCCGAGTTTCGAGAAGGCTGCTGGAACGACGACTGTTGCTGCTGAGCCTCATTTCCGTGGGACAGCATGTTGCCCTGGCTGAAGCTGCGGCTGTGAGCTGAACCCGACTGCTGCCCCTGGCCGCTGCTCGGAGGGGGTGGACCAGCACCGGGAGGAAAGCCTTGGCCAACTGATGCGCCACTCACTCCGCCGGGAACTGTCCCAGGAGGTCCGGTCTGCTGGAAGGTGCTCGTTCTTCCCGGTGCGACCGCTTGCTGGTGTCCCTGTCCTGCGGGTGTCCCCCCATACTGGCTTGGGGGCGGTCCTTGGGACTGCTGGCTGTTGGGCGCTTGCTGGGGACTTAATACTGGGTGGCGTTCATATTTGATCTCCCCGCTGCTAGGGGGGAGTCTGTTCTGCTGCCCAGCCACATAATCATTGACGTCTCTGTCATTGTCAATGGCCATGACAGCTTCACGCAGACTACGCGCGCCGCTCGACTCTTGTCCAGTCTTGATGGGGCTGATACTGAGCCCGTTGCTCAGGAGAAGCTTCTCGTTGAACGAAGCTGCCACGCGTTAGAAGAGGAGTACAGCGCTGGCGAGGAGAGGGCCTACCAAATTTCTGCATTTGCAAGGTGACTCCCGAGTCTGTTTCCGTCACAAGATCCCGTAGGGCGCGGATGGCCTCGGGCCGAGTCCTTGTCACCAGCTCATGCTTCTCCGACTGCAGATGCTGCACCTTGCCGTGGTAATCTTGGTCGGCTCCCTGGACCTTGCGCAGAAGGTCTTCTTCGTGTTGAGGTCCAGACTTGCTCTTCAGGCTGAACATCTTGCCGCTCTGACGACTGGTGTCGCCAGTACGAGCCCTGTCGTACTCGTCGGCCAAAGAGTCGTACTTGGCTTTCGATTTGCGCAGCACCGTCTCCAGCTCTGCCACCCTCTGCTCTGGAGCCAGACCGTTGACCTTCCAGCCCTTCCTACTGCGCTCGGCAACAGCAGCCAGCTCGACCAGATCGTCATGCATCTGGTGCAGAGAAAGAGCAAATTGCATGCCGTTCTCGGCCATTCGTTCGTGAATGTACATCATTTCGGTATAGGCTTGAGCAAAAGTGCCTTGCTTATGGTCTGGTAGGTGCATGGTGTCGTGGCTCAT